AACCAATGCTTTACATAATTTATGATTGATGAAAATGGGAGTTGAATGCTCAGTAGGCCCATGGAGGTATAAAATTTTATACCTCCATGGTAGGCCTAACTACTACCTGGTCATGATGGCAGACAGTTTAGGGTTTTGAATTCCAATGGGGACAATAATTATTCCCAATATTATAATATGATGTTGGCTTTATGATGTTGATGCTTTATGTGTTGGTCAGAGTAACAGTGCATTACATTGTGAATTTTCTTTCCTTTACTTAATCCAGTGTCAATTTTTTATAAGTAAATGTTATTTTTACTTATTGACATGTGCATTAAATTGTACAGTTCTACAGTATGATTTACTCTTTAGGAAGTTGAAAAGGTTTAATGTTGCTCATACATACAATGCACTATAAAAATACATACTTACCAAGCCTCACGCATCCGGCGAGACCCTCACGCTTTTCAACCAAACCTCAAGCTCTCAAGCCACTTACCTAAAATCTCACACTTTTCCACTAATCTCAAGCTTTAATTTAGTAAACACAAACTTTTTATTGAAATACTCAAAATCTTCTCAATTCTATAGTTTATCAGGCCTACTGTAGAATCATTAAAAAATCTAATGTTCCCATTCTTTCTAGTTACAATTGCTTCACAAAATGGATCGATCAGAGACGTAAACAATAAAGTTTACACATGCGTGTTATCCAAGTAGGAACACTGATTGCGCTATACATTACATCATTTTTATTTGAGCAGTAAGGATCTATTTCAGAATGCACCAGAGAGCATCTAAGCCCAAAATTTGGGTTTATTTTCTGTTAAATCTCAAGCCACTAGCTACCTCCAACTTGGCCTGTATGAAAATACCATTACCAATCATTATCACATTGTACGTTACCGGAGGGATGTAAAAGAAAGTACTCTAAGAGAACCCAAGGGAAGATGCCATCACCCACATGAACTAGGAACAACTAGCCATTCCATTGGCCAGGCTGGAAAAACGGGATCCACAAACTACAGTATGAACAAAAGACATCGGGAGAAATTTAGAAAATAGTTGCAGATCTCCCGGACTTGACTTCTTCCATTTCCGACAACATACCCAAGGCATTGCTAGTGGCGATGATATTTGCTGTATGTATAAACATTGTTATCTAGATACAAAATATTACCGTAATGTTTCGGTAATTTATGGTAAACATGCAATCTAGTATTGTAAAACATTTCTGAAAGGATAAACGTATTTGATTCTGCAGGTTATTAATTTGATAAACGATGATGTTGAATAAATATTATTGGAAATAACAACTCAGCAACACTAATGGTAACTATTAAAATTAAGAACAATAATAATAATAATAACAACAATAATATAATAAAAATACAATATATAATAAACAATAACAACAACAAATACCAATTGCATAAGACTGCAATAATAAATAACACAATATTAAAAACAAAATAAGGAATAATAACATAATAGAAATACTATAATGACAGAACAGCAATTCTGTTGCTATTATTATTATTATTATTATTATTATTATTATTATTATTATTATTATTATAATTATTATTATTATAGTACACTATACAGAAAGTCAATCAATAATTTCAAAATGGCAGAGAACACCCAACAATGGACTAAACCATTTTATAATTGGGGCATTTTCTTAGTTTTCATGCCATGCCTCCTATGCTCCTAATCTTATACAGTACTCACACTCACAGCCAAACGGCTCAGAAGTGAGCATGTGGTACTAAGAAGAGAAGGAATAAATCTCAGTTTCAAGGCACAATCTAATTCATATGAACTTACAAATGAACATTTAGAGATTTGTATATATCCTTCATGGGATATGACAATTATGTTGTACAACAACCATAAATCAATATTTTCAGCACACTTTTGGGAATAATAAGCATTTAATTAAACATATTTTTAGTGTTGTAGCATCGGAAATACATAAAAAATCTCTGCCACACTTTTTATTACAGAAATGACAATATTTAAGTACCGTATGTAAAGCTAAGTGAATTCAAAAACAAAATTCTAAAAGAATAAGCCAAATCCATTACTACCCTGCTGCATTTAATTGGCAAAAAAAAATTTTTATACGTTGTTTTCGCAAATTTATTTTTTTAAAGATCGTCAGAGAAGGGCAGAAAAAATATATAAAAATTTTTGTTTTCTTATTTAGAAAATGGTTTTGCCAAATACATCCATCCAGAGGGAGAAAATAAAATTTCATTATTAATGTAAAAACAATGTAGTACTGTATAACGTTTATTTAAGTCACAAAGTGTTTATTGCACATTTTAAATTTTATACAAGATCACTTGTAATTTAAAGTAGTTGTACTGTATATCCATGGAGGTATAGTATATCAGATAGTGGTTGTTTGTTTCCCTTAATTAAACCACAGATAAAAGTTGTCTTAATTACAGATTAATTTGGCCTTAATACTTTATCTCCTTGAAACTTGTTTACATTGGCATGGTGGTATGTTTATAATGACAGGTGGTTGTAAAGTAATTTGTTTAAACTCATGGAAACTTTCTCTTTAATTGCAACAATCTTCTGTAGTAACATAATATAAATTACCTTATGCCACATAATACTGGCAGTGGGTGAGAATCTTGTAACTATGGCCCTGTTTGCATAAGTTTTATTTAATATACTAAGCATTACTATAACTGTTATCTTTTTAATCATTAGTATTTGTTGGTGGGCTCTTGAGACACTTTGGATTTGCCACTTTACCCAGGGTAACGAAGAAATAAATAGTATTATTTTTAAGTAAATGCCAAGTTAAAAATATTCAAAAAGACCTTATACTCCTTTACAGGAGTAGAATCCTTTGTGGTAGAGGTGGGCATAAAAATGGGTAGGAGGGCCAAAGTGAACTTTGAGGGCCACTTGCAAATGTTGATTTTCCAGTGTGCTTTAAAACCTTCTGGGATTGTTTAGCTGTAACTATATGACTTTTAACAGATGGTCAGTGTCAGGCCGTTAAAAACAAGGGAATTTCTAACCAAAGATAGTTGGCAGGTTGCACACAGGGTTTTCAATTTATTTTCGTGGTCCACAACGAAATCACCATCCGGCCGCGTGTGACTCGCGGTCCACAATTTCTGCCCACCTCTGCTTTAAGGATTCATTAAAGCTAGGGGCTGGAGCTTACATCACTTATTACCCTGTTAGTCCATCGCAGGTTATTCCCAGAATTTCCGAGGTTGGGAAACCAAACCATTCTCAGTGCTCTAAACCACAGCAGCCTAAGCCTTCCTTTAATCACATTTTAATGTATACAAAATTAATTTATCAGAACATAATCATACCACTATAATAGTAGGTTACCCTGGAGGTATCATTTTTTATTTATTTATTTTATTTTCATTTATTTATTACGCTTTGTTTTCTTCAATCTAATGTACTGTAGCCCACAAATTAACAAAGGCATTTTCTGAGACCATGGAAAGTATTACCCTGCGAGACAGATCAAGTGAACGACCTCCAAAACATCTTTGCTGGAGGTCAAATTGATTGGTACCAGGAAGAAACTAATACCACCACCTCATTCTTTACCCAGGGCAAACTTGGGAGGCTACACCAGACACCTTATGAATAATCCCTTACAACATTAATGCACTGCTTTTATACCAATCTCAGTTTTGATATTACTTTTTACAGATGATTGATGTCGGGCCATAAAAAAACAAGGTGTTTTCTTTCCGAAGATGTTTGGCGGGCAACACACATAGAGTTTTCAATTCATTTTCGCAAGCCGCAAAAAAATCACACCCGCACTTTCCCCACCTGTGCTGTGTAGGCCCACAACATTCCTTCTTGTAACAATTAAATCTTCCCTGTTTTTTCTTTTGGTTCATTCTGTATGCCATTGGTACTGGATCGACTTGGTGATTATATTCGTGTGTGGTTGGCCAGCTGGTCATCACTCAAAGTGCAAACGAATAAGTTCTGATTGTACTCAGTGCAGTTCTGATGTTTTTTTCGTTTATTGTTTGACTCTCATTTGAGTACATCAAGGCTTTGTTATGAGGCTGAAGATTACACATACACATATGAATATTATAGTGTCTGTGGTTAACTCTTTTAAGAACCCATACAATACAACTGTTTCTGTTAACCGATTGTCGAAGCTAGGGAAAGCAGTATAAAATTAGTACCCCATTTTGAGAGGCCTGCAGTTACAAATAAGCACACCCACTCAGCATATTTGGTGGGTCCCAGAGCAGCCTTTTCTCCATATGAGATCACTGCACCAATAACTGAATTCCCCAAAAAGTGTATGCGTAGCATACAATGGAGAATTGAACATATTAGTAGCCTAGACTTTTTAAGATCCACAACTATCAAGTTTATCTATGGTCTACAGTATTGACAAACCTTCAAATTTGAACATTTTAATACCTTAAAAAGGATATTTAATGGAAGTCTTCAAGAACCAACTATTCCCACACTATACACTATTTGGATCAAGTGCGGTCCCTGGACCACGCCTATGTAGGCCTTTTGAGGCCGATAATCTTCATGCTATATTATTCCTTTACCAATTGGAGAATGTTTGACTGTTGAGAATGCAAAACAAAATATTATTTATGCCATTGCCTCATATATTATTGATTATCTATTTCTACATATAAAATAATCATCAAATCTGACAAACGATGAAAAATTCATGTACAGTATAGGGTCCCAGCATTTAACCCCCTGCACATCAAAGATTTTGATCTGGCCAATGCTTATTGCTATTGCTAAAAAATAAATCTTTTTTCAGGCCAATCTTCAGTAGCTGATAGAAAGAAGCACGAATCTTACTGCTTTTTAATAATTAAGGGTCCATACAGTAATATATGGTATTATTTTAGTGAAATTTCATTCACATTACACAATACAGGTACTGTATGCTAAACAATAACGCAACAACAACAAACGGAAAATGCATTCATGGATACTAATACATTAATTAAGGCTATACTCACATTGTGAAGCGCATGTTTCAACGAAAACAAGCATCAGAACACAACAAATCCTGAAATACATATTTACACTTGTATTCTTTTTTGGTGGATCACAAGATCACAACTATCTTCTGTGGGCCTAGGCCTAGATCACAATGACTGATTACAGCCGCAGTACAGATAACAAACTTTACTTGACGTATCGTACGGTGATGACAGACGCATGAACAGTGCTGGAGCTAGTTGATTTTGTCTGGGTACCCCTCGGGCTAGCGTAACTTACGTTCTACACACACCGTCACAAAACTGGGATTGTTTCCGATTTTTTGATTATGAACAGCTCGGTTCATCTGAATTGCTTTTTCAACAAAAGCTTCCAAAATCAAACCAATAAAAAGAAAAAGCATCCACTTCCCACCACTGTCGCATACCTGCCCCTT